AAGCCTCATGGGTTACTGTATTGAAATCCACCTGCTTAGATACCTCTATCACTATTATCATCGTCGATTTGCTTTCAAGTGTCTGGGGTTGGATTTGAACCCCATCTTCCTGACTCCATGCCCAGAGCTCTATCTATGCCACTGCCTAGTTGCCTGTATTGATCATATCAATTACTAACAAAATTATTACTTATAACTCTTCCCTATCCCCCAGGACATACACTGGGATTTAAAAAAGAGTAAATCCTATTCAATTACATAAAATGTTTTTAGTAACAGCAAAAAGGTCTTTTGTATTATTAATAAAAACAATTAAAATGGTTGTCTTTATCTCATCCTTTTTCATTTCTATTTTTATAAATATTTTCTAATGAACAAATTAATAAAGTAGTGGCATATATAATTTGTGTGTGTTTAAGAGTGGGATCACTGAGTCAGTTGATCAATTAGCCCAACTAACTTCAAGTGATAAAATGATACTCTCAGATAACTAAATCAAGTGAGATCACATCTGATCAAATCAAATTAGTTAAGGTCATTCCAATTATGTGAAAAGGATTTGATTAATTTAGAAGTCTTTGATGAGCCAGTGGATTGGCTCAGAGACTTGGTCACGCCTCATAGGACTTGTAAAACCAATGATTTAGAAATTGGGGATTTAGGTTTGAGGTCCAGCATCTGGCAGTAGAGAAGAGAAAAACCTGCCTCTGATAAGGAATTGCTCAGAGGTATATCCTTCAGACTTTGCCTCTTTGTTCCCCTCTTTGTCCCTTTATCCCACCTTGGACAGAGGAATACATTTCAGACTTCAAAATGTCTGGAGATTTTGGGGCTACCCATGTTCTCAATGACATCCTAGCACCATCTCTGGGATAGCAGTGATTGGCAGGGTCTGCCATCAGGAAGCAAGAACAGACTGGATTCAATGAGGAAAGGCTGATGTATATTTCCAAATACAGTCCAGCATAGACAAACAAATAACACAGTACCTAAGGGGAACATGCTGAGGACTCCAGCAAAAGGACTTTCAGGAACTGGGAGCTTACCCCTTTGCCACATGTGCTTTCTAAGCTTGAAACCACTTTTCCCTGAACTCTTTATGCGGGAAAATGTGTTAAAACTCTTAGGGGAAATGTTTGTACCAATAGCATAAATTATATCACATTAGTAAATATACTTTTCTAAAAGCCAATTAAATCTGGATTACTAATTGATAATCAACTAACAATCACGATGAGTTACAACATTAGGAAACGCCACTTCCTCCTACCCCTCTCACCATCCTGCCTCACCCCTCCCCCAATCCGTCAGGGCTAACCCCCAGGTCTCTGAGGACAATATAACCACACCCTGGGGACGTGACTCATTGGTTTGAATGGACGTGTTACATCATCAGAGCACATGTTACATATGTAATATATATTACATATATAATTACTGGTAGGGGGTGCACATCAAAGTGTTTAGAGACCACTACAGGACAGTAAAAGTTCCCACTGTGTTTACTCTTTGTTAACTACAAGAAAATCATTTTTGGATAGCAAAATTTTGCCTTGAAGGTTCTCCTCCAGAAAAGTGTTTCTATATTCAAGATCCCTTTAAAAACATTCTTCAATACCTACTTTTGTGTTCTGAGATCTCATGAACACAAAGATACACAAAACAGCCCACTAATGACCTTTCATCCTGAGTGGCTCTTATGCAAATTTTGTAAATCCATGACATAGGGTCTACCTAACACATCAGGGACTTTCTCCTAATTTCTCTGACATTGTGTAGAAATTAAGGAAGCACATGGCTTATCTTTTGCCACATAATGGGCACACCTTCTTTTCTGGTCATGAATCTCTCTGATGACAATTCTTTATGTCATTTCTCCTGAGGAATTCTTGGCTGACACCCACTAAGTATCTCTCCATTACTCTTTGAGTGACACATAATTTTAATTCCTCAAGGACTACGGACTTGTAGACATGCAGTTTCATTATAATAATACTGTTTTAAAAGGATGATTCTTTTTGTTACAAAGATGTAACTACATGAACAACTTTGTTCAACAATTCTTTGAATATGAATATCAAGTGTAGCCCATGTAGTTGCCCCTCTGGGCTACTTCCTCAAACTTGGACTCTCATTGGTGAAACTGGTTTCCTAGAGGGAAGCTACTGCTCTGGATTCTAGGAGTAACATATGGGTTTCCATTGCTACTCTACCAGCTCACAAAGTCCCTTCAGGTTCCCTTGAACAGTAACACCAGTAGACACAAGCTCATAGCAAAGTCATCTGCTAAAGTGACATACTAAGTTCAGGAACTACAAAGTATTTCCCTCCCATAAACCTAAGAGCACAATCTCCAAATATGAATAGTATCTTCAGGAAAAGTGGACACAAACTTGGAGGACAGTGGTGGTAAGGCATACATCAAGGGAATATATGTGACCAAGACAACTCTCAGTTCTGGAACTATGAGGGTCCTTTATCTTCCCATGGAATCCTCACAAAGTTCCCTCTTAGGCTCAGTGTCTCTGCCAAGCAGGTTGCTTAGCCTAGTTCCCAAGGTTGACTTTGCTCCTCAGCACATCCATCAACCTCTCTTAAGCCTATAGCCAGCTCTCTTCTTTGATGACAAAGGTCACACTGATTGAAGTTGCTTTTCTGATTTGAGTGACTGATTGTATTTGTGTCTCTGCTCCCTCAAATGTGCCTCGAACTTTTATGAACATCTTCAACTGTTGGAGGCGATGTCAGTGACAGTGAGTAATGCTGCTCTTAGATGCCATGGCAGATGGGCACAGGAGGAGGACAGAGAAATTCCTTGCATCCCCCAAGAGCAATTCCCTCTCAGGATCTAGGTTCCTCCTTTACTACTGGTTCTTGCTATGAATGTCTGCAGAGATAGTAATTTAGCTTTTTAAGATCCTTCAAGGATATGCTTTATTTTGAAGCCCACCAATGGTGTTAGTCTTTCCTACTCAACAAGAGAGATGTTTGTACGTGAAAAGAGATAACTGGGTGTTAACACTTTATTAACACATTCACAACTCATCTTCTTAGGTATATCTTTTGACTATATCAATGAAGTGGGGGAGGAATTTCTCCCTCCCTTATACATAAAAGTTGCAGTTTTTGACAACCTTGAGTTCTTCCATCAAACAACAATATTCTTCCAATGATGCTATAGATCTATCTGCAAGCCAAAGAGTACCACAGACTTAGAGGGGAAATGGTTTTAGTTCACCTAGTGAGTGAACAAGAGGTACATAATTTCCAACCAAAAAACCATATAGTCAAAGTAGCTACTACCAGAAAAATGTGTGACTGGAAAAAGAGAGAAACTACCCATGGAATGAGACTGACAATAATTAACAATTAGCATGTCTGCTAAATTCCTAGGAAAACATAGACAAGGGTCTCATTTTGAACAGCGTGAGTTGGATCTGTACTCTTGGAGAGAGTACCTCCACCAGTGAGGTTAAAGAAGTATATTCTAGTTATACGTTTTTGTGTCTTTCCCTCTTATTAGACTAAGAAGAAAGGTATGAAGTGCCTCTAATATGAACTTTTATCTCTCTCAGTGGAAAGAGGAGGAGGGAGGATTTTCACTAAATGGGTTATTTAATCCCAGAACAATAAAATAAAATAAAACTTTAGGTCTGGGTTTGCACCCTGAATTGGCGTATACGGGTTATATCCAAAGAAGCATGTGCCCAGAGTGCCTCAAAAACTTTCAGAGACTCTAAGGATGTGGTAGGCCTTTGGGGGAATTTCCTGGCTGCATCTGGCAATGTGGTAGCCCAACACTGAAAGGACTTAGCATTTTAAAATGAAGTGGTAAGCCCTAAGTGATTCTTAGATTCTCTCCCTGTCCCAAAATAGAGGCAGGGAGGGGGTAGGATACAGGAGTGTATAAAAATGGGAGATTATTGAGACCCTAACCCTAGGTTCTCTTGAACACCAATCACCATTTGTATTCAACGTACATAATAAGGAAAAATGTCCCAACAAAAGACCAATATAACCTAATTTGTGTAAATGATATGGGGACAACCAAAGTCCCCAGACAAAAAAGGGCTATCCTGAGACTGCTGACTCATCCTATGAAATGAATGAACTCAACCACACAGAAAAGGCTTATATACGAGCATATTTAGTAAAAAGTACTAAAGTATTCCTAACTTATTAAAATATATAAATGCAATAATATTTTACATTCATAATTAGCAAAAGATATTCAATTAATATATTTAAGGTAAAAGGGTTCCATTCATAATAGAGGCCAGTTTGTAGCAAGAAAAAACATGTAGAATGTTTGTTCTCTAGTCAAGGAGGGCTTTTTAAAAAAATCTTTTGATTTACTCTATGAAAAGAACTAAATAGTAATTAAGCCTATACAGTAAAATTCCCATCAACTGGAACACAAATATAGACATCCTTGATTAACTGGAGTTTTGGGGGGTTTTTTGCCACACCTACTTCTAAAGGTAAGAGATAAATGAAAAAAAGCTCACATTAAGAATTTATTCAAAACAACTTACCTCATAGTACAGATTTATCTGAATTTCTTATATTTTTTACATCTACAGTACTACACACACGAATCTTTGATGTTCAAAATGATGATACAATATTATTAGTTGTCACAGGAGATTCAAATTGTATTCTACATACTAGACTTACTACAGAAGTGGAAAGATTTTTCAAAACATAAACAGAACTTCTAATTAAGTGAATTAACTAGAAAATTAAATTAACTCCAAAATTCCTTCACCTTATATTTGACTATCTAGCCTTTCCTAAAGATTTGAGGATCTGTGTAGGTTTACATCCATTCTGAATTTTTTTTTCAAATCTGGCTGCTTATGGATTATTTTTTTTAATGCATAAATACGGACAGCAGTAATACGCAAAGGCCATTTAAATTGCTTCCATCACCTCCACCACCAAGAGGCAAAAGAGGATCAAAAGAAAAAGTGAGGGAAGGAAAGTTATTGGACTCTTACCACATTGCCATGGGGCTATATTGCTCCTGTATCCCTGTAGTACGGCTGAGTTCGGGCTTCTCAACTCACCTGCATTTTGAGAATGATATCCACAAATTCATACATTCCCCTGACAAACATGTTTCTATCAATTATCCACAATTTAGTTCCTCTACACTCAGTCTCAGGGCCACTCCCTTATTCATGTCAAACTGGAAATGAGCAAAGTATATTACATAGTACATATTCCCTGACTATAGTAGACAGTTGAAAAATGTTTACTGGATGGATAGATGAATGAAAAAAACGAACGTATGGTATGGATAGATGATGTGACGTACTTGATCACTTTCTCTGATATTTAATGTCCTTGTGGCTCCTAAACTTGAGTTAGCCATTTTTCCTTTGAAAACAAAACTTGCAGGATTGGTGACCCCAATACAGATGATATATTTGCGGCATATGACATTATGTTGAATTTCAAACAGTGCCTTCTAGGTACTGGATACGTATTTCTCAAATGAACATGAATGCAAAGAATTCTCTGATGATTTTTTAAAAGCGTTCTTAGTATGCATTGCATGCACAGCAATGGGGCTCATCTCTCCACCTGAGCCCTTACCATAAACACCCTTAGCCCTCTTTGCAGCAAACGAAAGGCAAGAAAAGTTTAAAGATAACTAGGAGAGATATATACAATAAGGGAGAAAAAGTCCCCCAAATAAAAGGAGAAAATCAAACAAGAAGAGGAGAAATACAGCAGGAGAAGTAGGAGAACAATGACAACACTATCAGACAGAGCATGAATGAGAGAAAAGGGGAAACCTCAACAATGATTGATGCTGACCATGACTTGCTCAGCTTGGATGCGATCTTTTCCTTTGGATACTTTCACTTTCTTTTTTAGAAATGAGATTCTGACTTCACATGCAGTGTGCACCACATCCTGACAGCCATTTATGAATGCGGACATGCCTCACACAGTACAGGAGACATGACTCTCAGGAATGGCATAAGGGAATCCACAGAGGTAGAGGGAGGGATAAAAATGGTAAGAAACCACTTTGCTTTGAAACCTGCCTTTTCAAAAATAATAGAATAAACTTGCATTTGGAAGGGGTCAGGAAGAAGGGGCAACACAGGCAAACGAGAATGTGTGTCTACAGGAAGGACCAAGGGAGGAATGCTTCTACACTCCCAATTGTTCAAAGCAAAGTTGTTTCAGATGGTGATTTTCACCAAAATATGAGTTGATAAGAATAAACTGAAAATGTTCAGGAAGCACAAGACATTTTGGGAAATGTTTAAAAATACGAATTGCCTATTTCACAAATGAGACATCAAAGGTGGTTGTTGTGAAGTGATAATATGGACCTGGTTGTAAGGTCATGTGAGGTTCTGAAAACAGGGCTATCACAAACCATACACTGTCAATTTTGTAAATATTCACAACACTGCCTCTTAATTCCAATCAACGCTCACAGTTTTTACTGTCCATGCTGTATTCAAAATATGTTGTGTGGCTAACTTTGAAGCCTTATGTAAACTTGCATATAAAATAAAACCTTTATTTTGCAAATGAATAAATGAAGGGTAAGCTTAATTATTTTTTTTTAATATGAATGAGCCTGGCCAGTTTCCTGAGGAATAAACAGCAGGAAATATAAACCAGATGCAGAAATCTTGATTCTTTGGATCAGATACTGCAAAATTCTGAAGACCTGAGTGAAACTGAATTTAGCAATAACGTGACAAAAATTTGGCTGGGTATTTGAAAGGAAGATTGGAAACATGTTACTAGAAAACCAGGCAAAAGTAATATTCCAGTGAATAGCCAATTTATGGCAAATACTGCATCAAGTTAATTAAAACAGCAGAATTCCAGCTAATTTGCTAAAACATGACTGAATACACACCACTGACAATGAATAAAGAATTCCAGTGCATTTGTCATCATTTCTACTTATGTCTGCTGTCCATGCCAAAAACAGATGTGGAATACGTTTGGCATTCATTTAAAAATATTCAGTTAAAGGCTTTTAGCCAGCAAAGATTCAGCCCAACTATTCCATCGCTTGTTCAAAATAACCTGATTACTCATCTGAATTACTTACATAAAGAACGAAGCAGAGGACCATTGTATCTACTATACAAAATATATTTCCTTTTAAATCCAGCTTTAATTCACTATATGTTATCATTGAGCCTGCCCTGAAAATATGCTCGTTCTAGATAAGAGAATATACCCTATTTCCTACTATGTATCATATGATCATTTTTCAGCGTTTTAAGGAAATTCAAACCTAATTGTGACTATTAACATCTCTAGTTCTAAAAGTAAAGATAAGCTGTCAAAAACTGATGGGGAAGGGGGGAACCCAGAAATAAGTTATTTTAATATCCCCTCTCGAACATGATCTTATAGATAATTGTTAACTACACACCGACCAACCCTTTTAAGTACTACACACACACACACACACCCACACCCACACACCCACACACACCCACCCATAGTTGATGATTCTGCTCTTTCCCCGTGGTACTAAGAACTCGTTTAGCAGACAACAGCATGAAACAGTCAAGAACTCAGCAAACATACAAGTCACACTTACTGATTTTTTCCTCATCTCTCGAGAAAGGAAAGCAGCAGAGCTGACCCATGGCACCTAGTGCTTTCTTTCCTTCTCCTTGTTCTCTTCACTGTGTACACCCCAAACAGAAACTGCAGGTGATTCTAACAGGCTGCGAGTAGACTGCTTATTCCTCTCTGAGGAACGCACAGAGAGAGAGAGAGAGAGAGAGAGAGAGAGAGAGAGAGAGAGAGAGAGAGAGAGAGAGAGAGAAGGGAGGGACTGGGAGGGAGGGAGGGAGAGAGAGACTGAGAGAGAAAGAGGGAGACAGAGAGAGAGACAAGACAGAGAGGGAGAGAGTGCGCAGGAGAGAGAAGAGAAGGGAACAAAAAAGCTCCACCTACCTCCTTGCCCTCCAGTTTCTTATGACTGCTTCAGGACTGACAGCCATTGAAAAAAGTAGCCGTATGCTCTACTAAACTCTCCCATGGCTGTAGGTTAAATCAATGCCACATACCCGCTGTGTAGATTTCTATATGTGCCTTTAAGAAAAACTAAGGAGCACATCAAAAAGGGCTCACCTCCTCCCCATCCCTGTCCACCCCCACACAAACACCGCAATTACATACAGAATGAAAATGCAAACTGCAACCCAAAAAAAAAAAAGATCTTTCTGTACACTATTTTAAAAAGGAAAAGCTTGCTTCTTTTCCTAGGAGACAGAAGAGTGGGCAGGGATTTCAATGTGTGCTGAAAAACGAGGGCACAACTCCTATGATGAAGTTCTGTTTACGGTGTAGAGTACTTGTAAGCACTCAAAGAATGGCAAAGGGAAGAAAAAAGAAGAAAGAATCTGAGCTGTTATCTATAGCATGGTTTTATGCAAAAAAAACCATTTGTTCTATGTTCACCATCTGAAATCCTCAGGACAATTCAGTTATTCCACTAGTGAGACATTCATTAGGAAATCACAGAACTACATAATGTGTTGTAGAGATCATCTGATCCAATTTTCATTTTACAGATAGCAAAAATGAGGCTCCGAGAAATGAAGTGACTTGCTGAAAGTCACAGGGTTAGCTGTGCCTACAAGCCAGATCTCCTGACTGCCCATGCTGTTTTTCTATTCCCACCTCACCCTCAATGCTGCGGACCTTAGAGTCACAACACAGATATCTCCATTACCTGGATACTTGTATAGGCGTAGCAGCAACAAGAAGCAAAACATGCGGACATTTTAGGAGAAATCTCTAGAGGCTGAGTAAATTCAGAGACTGAACCAAACTCAGCCGAATGCGTGTAACCAGCCTGTTTTTAACCAGATGATTCCTCTCTAGACTTAATGCTTAATCATCATCATGATTCTCTATTGGATAATATAATTTTGAATAGAAAGGTCATTAGAAGAGTCGAAGATGGTTCTCAACGTCACACTTCTCAATCTTTCCTCTTCTTCCGCACCCCTCCCCCAACATTAGCAAGAAATGACAAGGGTATGACGGCAATTTGTTCCTGTGGCACATAATGGCAAAAATGTCCTTTTCAGTACTCATCAAGAAAAAGGGTGAAATGTGGTAGGAGAAATAAACTTTGGAATTTCACAAATTAAATGTTACACTTTAAAAAAAAAAAAGATCCCACTTGTGGTTGACAGCCATGAAGCATTTTTTGAAGAAATAGGTCATCATTTGTTTCAAAGTGACAGAGGAGTCCTATTTTTTAAAATATTGATATATATTTAAAGGGAGGATGATTAAATATTGTCATGTAGTATTTGAATATGCATCAATCAGGTAATGCCATGTATTTTTTTCAATCATAAGAAACTCTACCCTATTATGAGTTTTCAGAGTTAGAATGACACAAACAGGCTGTGTTCCATCAAGCAAAGATTTGTAGAATAGATGAAAATGTCTGCTACAATCAAACAGATTAGGCTGGGGATTCCAATAAATATTTTAAATCTACATATTCTCATAAATTCACTTTAGTTTTTACTTCAGTATCAGTGAATCAAATGTAAATATGTTGACATGAATCCATGAAGGATGTGTGATTTCATCAGTATAAGGGAAACTCCTGGTCTGGGAACTCCCTTCATCAATTCAGGGAGTTGACCAGTTTAACAAATCCTAGAGAGTTTCCCTAGGCACTGCAAGATCAAGTGGTTTTCCAGGATCATATAAACAATAAGTGGCAGAGATGGGATTTGAACCATGGACTACCTCGCTCCCAAGCCCAACACATAATCCTCTAGACTAGTGTATCAAATTCAAATGGAAACAGGTCCTTGTGGGCCTCACAATGACTGAGAAAACTACCACCATTATCCGGTTTGTATTATATTTTTATTTATTAAACACGTCCCAATCATATTTTAATCTGGTTCAGGTCACACTCAGGAGTTTAGGTGGCCATCGAATTTAATACTTCTCTATATCCATTTGATGTACAGTGACATAGTAGGGGAATTAGCTTGATTTCATATGTATGTATATATATATATATATATATATATATATGTGTGTGTGTGTGTGTGTGTGTGTGTGTGTGTGTGTATAATGTGAGAGATGAACATTTAAATTTAAGATGTCAATTTTTAAAGCTAGATTTGCCAAATATAATCACAGCATTAGAAAATTCACTTGGAAGAGATCCATTTTAGGGCTTCACAGTTTATCAGCCTCTCAATTGTAAATGGTAATTAAAATTGCTTAATTATTCCTTTCCTTCAAAATCACCAGCACAAATCAGTGAAACATTTTACATTTTTAAAAACTCACATAAATCTGTGATTTCATCAGTGTGAATGCAGATGACAACTCATCAAAGCCTGGCCATTTAGAGTAATGATTCTTGTCCATGTCTTCCCAGAATCAAAGTAGAAAATGTTATCAAGGGAAAGGCTTTATTGAAAAAGAAAGTGGTCCTTGCAAGAGTAAGGCATAACTGAAGTATTTACCCACGTGCTCCACTGGTGTTCTCTTGATGTCAAGAGAAAAACTCACATATACTATAAGCATAAAATCAATACTAGTTCTAGAGATGAAAGATCATTTGAATTTAGCTAGTTCTGGAACTAATAGATGATAATTACCACAACTGTGAACTCTCTGAGGGCAGAGAACAGGTTTTATATATCCTTGTACCTCCCTTGGCATTTAGCACAGTGCTTTGTGCGTATAATGGACATTAAAAAGTATATGTGAAATCAAATGGTAAAGAAAGCTAAAATTTACTTAGATTCTTAAGCAAGAATAAACACTCGTCACACTTTGGGTTTAATCTGAATAGTCACTAAGGAAAGAAGCATACCAATAATTTGTCAATAGGTTAAGTTCATTCATACTGTACTCAGCATTATGTACATTTTTTATACATGAATGGAAATAAATTTTTACAATCAATAATGTAGATCCAAGAAAACAAATAGTCAACATCTCAACTTATCCTGTGTACCTCTGCAGTGGCGGGGGGGGGAGAAGATTACCTAATAATCTAGTTATTTATCTCTGGAAATTTAATAATAAATCACTTCTAATTTTAAAAATGCAAATACTCAAATGTTCTAGAGATGTATTCTACGCCAATAACAATTCATTTTATTAGATCTGCTCAATTCAATTCAACTCAACAAACATTTAAAAACACTTTGCATAGAGAATTGTGTTACATTCTAGGGATTATAGAAAAGTCATGGTCTCTGCCTTCTTGAAGTTTAAGGTCTAGTAATTATACTTTAGGGTAATAATATTCCTTATTGGGGAAAAGGACCTAAGCTAATTGTACTGCATGCCTCTGTCTGTCATCCTATCCCCATACATCTGCAGGTAGATGAAATCTAAGAACAGACATCCCAAAGGGACAACATCACTTGAGGGAATATATGTGTAATGGGGTCAGCAGTGTAACTATCAGTCAACCAACCCCTGTATCTCTGTTACTCTGCCATGATATGTGCATATATTTCCCCTGTGTATATATGCATACATATATACACACATGCATTAATACGTGTGTGTGTGTGTGTGTGTGTGTGTGTGGGGGGGGACAGAGAATAATTCATTATTGCTGACTATACGTATATAGAGAGAGCATGAGCTCTTTTTTAATTAATAGAAGCCAAAGTTACAATTCCTACCACATGGGACCATAAAGCAGTGCTGAGATGAATATTGTATATACTGGTTTGGTAGAGATCTGCCTGAAGAGGCAAATAAGTGGCACAGTTTGTTGGGATGGGAATCAGGAAGGTCTGGATTCAAATCCTACCTCACTACTTGCTAGCTGGTTAAACCTGAGCGAGTCACTTAACATCTCCTTGACTGAAGTTTCCTCATTTGTGAAATGGGAATAACAACACCTACTCCCTAGGGTTATGAGGATCAAATGAGATAATATAAGTATTTTGCAAATCTAGATGATGATGATGATGATGATGAAGGCTAAAGTTTGAAAAAGCAGTGGATTTAGAGGAAGGAGCTCAAATTCTGGCCCTGTCAATTTCTACCCACTTGCCTGCACAAGTCACTTGATCTCAGTTTTCTCGTCTATAAAATGAGAGGGCTAGGCTAGACAGATCATCTTTAAGGTTCTTTCCATCTCTTAATCTAAAAATAATGGAAGTAGATGAGATCACCAAGGAAAGATGTAAAGACAGAGAAGAGGACCAAAGAGTCTTTGGAAACTCTCAATAAGAAGGAGATAAGAAAAGAGACTAAGAAGGATCAGTCAAGTAGGTAGGAAGAGAACTACATAATATCTTACACATAATTTAAGTTTAATAAATGTTTTAAATTGAATTAAACCAGGAGAAAGTTATATCCTTGAGGCCAAGGGAGGAGTATTAAGAAGAGGGATGGTCAACAAGGTTAAATGCTATAGAAAGATCAAATGAGACTATAAGGTCAGGGACCCTGCTTTATTCATCTTTATCTCCCACACATGGCAGATGCCCAATAAATAACAGTTGAATTGTATTGTTGATGCTAGGCAAGTCATGTAATCTGTCTGGGCTTCAGTGTCCTCATCAGTGGTTACGAAGTTAAATTCAACAAATTTTAAAGTTCTTTTGCATGTTTAGTGTTCTATGATTATTAATCAGTTGTAATGTTACTTAGATCATATTTAAAAAACATAGATAGTAATAAGTATTTGTTAATCAACCACCATATGCCTAATACTGACTATTCCTCTGAGGAGGGCACAAAGACATCAAGATATAGTTACTATCCTCACAGAGTAGAGTGAATTAACTAGAGCAAGGGTTTTAACCTGGATAGATTTCAGGTAGTCTATGAATTTGGAAAAGAAAAAAAAATACATTTTTAATTTCACTAACTTCTAATTAAAATTTAATATTTCCTTCAAATACTGAAAAACATTATTCTGTTAAGGGGTCCATATGATTTGCCATACTGTTAAGAGGGTCTATCACTTATATGTATGTTAACTCCCCCTGAATTTGAGAATAATACAAGATAGGGTTTAATTAAGTCCCAAATTTTGTATTAAAATGGAGGAAAAAAACACTTCCTTCCCTGAGACAGCTTCATGGCACAGTGCACTGGGCTCTAGGCCTGAAATCAGGAAGACCTGAGTTCAAGATACTAGCTAGTTGTGTAAACCTGGGCAAGTCATTTAACCTCTGTCTGTCTCAGTTTCCTAAGATATAAAATAGCTCCCAAGGTTGCTGTGAGGAGCAAATGAGATATTTGTAAAGCATTTAGCATGGTATCCGACACACAGTAGGTACTTAATAAATACTAACTGCCTTCCTTCCCAAGTCTTCATATTACTATTAATAATGTGTCCTAATTTTGGAAAGCTTTAAAGAATGATAATATTGATAGGTGTAGTAGAAACGAGAGGCTGCACAGCAAAGTGGACAGAGAAGTGGCCTTAGAGAGCCAGGAAGAACTCAGTTGAGTTCTGTCTCTGACACATAATAAAGGTGTAGCCTTGAGAAAGGCATCGAACTTTTCAGTGCTCTAGGCAACTATCTAAGACTACCTATATTGCTGACAGGTGCCAACCTGCACTGGTAAAGTAGGTCTTCATCAAGAGCTCCCTTTATCAATAAAATCAAAGGTCCAGACTCTACCAATATTAAGTTGCCCATCCAATGCCAAGTATATTTCCTGATTCTTTCAACTGTTATCTCCTGAGACTTGAAACCATTCAAGACTAAAATAAAAATCACTCCCTACCTAATAACTATTATAAAATCCTGAAAATGATCTATTTTCTTTATAAAACTTCTCTCCAACATCTAGCACAGTCTTCTATTTGGTGCCTTTCCTGATTCACCAACTGTCAGGGCCCTCTCTAAATACCCTCTAATTATTTTATGTTTATTCATATACGAAAATGTGGTCTCCCATTTGTTGACTTCTACTGGTCAAGCTATTGCAGAACAGAGAAAGACAGGGGGG